GATCAGAAGAAGGATTCTGAAGTCGAATTATCGGAGTGCTCTTGTGTTGATTCGTGTTCTGAAGTTATCGGAAAAATCATAAAAATTGAAGATCCAGTTGATATCTCACGCGATATTGTTTCAAAGCGGAATAGAAATGCAAAAGTAATTGAAGGAACTGAGGATTCTGAAGTAATTTCGAGATTTCTGAAAGCTTCTGGTGGTTTTTGCGGTGAAAGCTCAAAATCTGGAGAGGATGCTGTTGCAAGAAGCAGGAATGCTGCGAAAATCATCCATGAAGATGTCGTTTCATTCAATTCCGTCTTACAGTCGCCTTCGGAGTCAAAATGTGGAAATTTATCAGTTCAATCAATCAAATGTAGTGAAAACAGAGCAGCGGAAGAGGTCGAGTCTGAAGTTTCACGAGTCTGTCCAGAGGTAGAATTATCTGCTGTAGAACAAGCTCATGAGAAACTCGTTGAAGCAGAATTGGATCTGGAATGTTCTGAAAATTTCTCAATTGTTGATGTCTCTGATGACTATTCATCAGCTTATTCTGAACTCCAATCGGAAATATTCCCGGAGAGTTCCGATATAGATATCTCCGACTATAGTCCGTCGTATTGGTACGACTCCGGAAGCCAGTTCTCTGAGAAATCGAATGCAGACGCTAGTCCTTCACCTACTTTCACGTTGTTTCTTCGGTTCGGTCAACAGTTCTGCAGATCAACCGCTGCTTTGCAATCCACTCCCATAAACTCGTCGGAAGATCAAATTTCTACTGAATTCACTGTAAGCTATTTATTTAACTTCCTTTAATCTGTACTGAAATTACATTTCACAAAATCTATTGATCTCTCTCTAAATTCATCGAATTTATAGTTCATGAATACTGAGTAATGGAGTGAAACAAATATAGTTGTACCAGAGTAAGAGAGGATTTTAATTAGCGGATTGAACTGGTTTTAGATTGAGATAGTAATTATTGAAGTTTTTTAAAAAAATTATGTTGTATACTATTAGTTAGCCTTAACATCATCATGATTCTGTTTATTTCCTTAATTTATGGAGGGATTGGAAGATGAAGAGGATGAAGAGAGCTATAGGATGATAAGAAACAGAGAGAGGAGGCAATTGTATCTACACGACTACGCCGAGGAATACTGTTCCACTACGGACTACGGCGATCTAATCGTGCAGCAACGGTTACAGATGGTTCATTGGATTCTTGAGGTTAGTTAGTGATGAACGTGTTTACTCCCCGCGTTCCTTTCTAGTTGATCTGAAATGCAGTTAAAAATTTCTCTGGAAGTTGATGCTATTAGCGAATCAAATCAGCTTTTCGTGCCATATAGATTTACGGCTTATAGTGCATGTGGAAGTTATATTTTTTAACAACTGGTAGAAAGACAATAGAATCCACCTTGCACGTGATCCTATAATACTGTCCATATTGCTTGTGTGTGCTTAAATATTAGTAGTACAATTTTACTGAAATAAAGTATTGGTCCATAGAGTATAATAATTGAAGATTAGTTTGATATATATTACTGTAAAATATTAAAATTTTAAATTCATGAGATCTTAGAAAGTTGTGTAGAATAATGTCGTCAAACATTTTGGCGAGTTGATTACGGACAGGATGCCATGTAAGTTGGAAAGAAGTAAGAGTATTATAACTCGATACTATTTCCCTTTTATTCATATAGTAACTCATTCACAGGATGCTGTTAGGACCTTGTAATGAAAATTAAAGAATTTGGATCCACTGGCATTTCAAGCGTTTACCACAAGATGGCCCTAAAACACCAGGTCCTGGGAGTAGTTCAAGGGATCTAAGATTCCCATTTTTTTCTGCAGAGAACTGCAATACAAAAGCAATACAAAGGAACTAAAAATTGTTTCAACGGCCTATGCTTTGGACTCTTTACATACACATACTAATGTCACTAGTACTTTGGCACTTTTCCTTGTCTAATGATGGACATGTTTCTTTTATAGCAAGCCACGAGGAAGGACCTTCAGAAGGAGACGATGTTCCTAAGTGTTAACCTCTTTGACAGATTTCTAAGTAAAGGGTACTTCAAAACCAAAAGATGCCTTCAAATTGCTGGCATTGCCTGCCTTACTCTGGCAGTCAGGATCGAAGAAAACCAGCCTTTCAACAGGTAACATTCCTTGCTCTGATGTTAAATCCAGGCTTGTTCCCTTGAGAGCAACTAGAGTATATAGTATCAAAATGAAATGTCGAAAGGAAGTGCACATAAGCAGAGCCTCAAAATCAATTGTAAAATCTGAGGGAACTGCTCAGCATTGCAAATTACCTTGCGTTTATTTTTTCGGATGTTACTTGCTGGGAAATACAGTAAGAAATTCTCAAAGGAAGTTCAAATTGACCAAGCTAAGGACATTACAGTTTAAAAGTCTTGATATATACATTCCTTATCATTAGTAAAGCATACTAGTCTTCTTAAGTCTCATTTGCTGAAAAGTTATTAAGTTGACAAGTTCACTTCTTTCATTTCAGCATTCGCCAGAAGACATTCTCTGTTGCAGGCACTACATATAGCTGTTCTGAAGTGGTGGCCATGGAGTGGCTGGTGCAGGAGGTCCTCAACTTCCAATGCTTTCTTCCCACAATCTACAACTTCTTATGGTACAATGGTTAACCATGCTATACAATTGCTTAAATTTGATACTTGATGACTTAGCCTTAACATACACTAACTGAAGAAGTAAAGAGTCATCCATATATTTTATTTGGCGTTTGTCACAACTGCACAGGTTCTATCTTAAAGCTGCTACAGCTACCGAATATATGGAGAAGACAGCTAAATACCTGGCAGTCCTAGCTTTGTTGGGTCATGAACACTTGTGCTACAGACCATCAACTGTAGCTTCTGCACTGGTGATTCTCGCTTTATCAGCTGCCAATCTTTATGCCTCATGCCATTTGGTCACCAAGGTAACTTCTGAAAGACATAAATATTAATCCAAGTGAAATGTGTTTGTGACTTTCTTTTCACTTGGAAATGTATCGTCAAGGATGAATCCAAGTATATTCTTAAGCACTATTTTATCTAAAATTGTGCTTTGCATTTGCACATTTTTTATAAGTGTAGAGAGTCATGATCAGTAATGCATTTGAAAACTCTAATTCACATGCTTTTTCATCTCTTCATTCACAGACTCATGCCAAAATAGAAGACGAAGATTTACCTGAATGCATCAAGGTACTATATCCCTACCTAGCAATATTTAGTTCATCTTGTTTCTCTGCTGAAAAACAGGCAGAGTCAGAGTTTTGTATCATCAAAGCTATGATATTAGTAAATGAAGTTACTGCTTTTAGCTTATCAAAGAAGTTATTTTCTAATGGCATATTCATTCATGACAGAGCTTGGAATGGCTGGTGAAGTACATATGATATTAAGGTGGATCAGCATGTCAGTACACATGATATGAAGGTGGAACAGCATCTCAGTAATTCTCTCATATTTTGGAGCTGATCAGTTTATCTTCTCATTCTTTTGACGAAACTTATTCTTAGTCTCTTCTCAAAGTCGCGGGTAATAACTTCAAGATATTCTGTTGAAGTTTGATCAAGTGATTCTTACTTCATTATTTTGTCCTTGTAACAATAACAAATATACACTTAATCCTTACTGTCCTTACTTAGGAAACAAGGATGTAGAAAGAACTCAAAGTCATTACTGTACTCAGAAATGTAGAAAGAACTTAAAGTCACTATTGTATTCAGAAAGTATCAATTACTATAAACAATTGTTTAGTTGAAAAAGAAAATTTGTGATCTATTTTTCAACTCAAATGTTGAAGGATAAGACTGAATATCAAATGAGAGAGAGTTTGTCAATGGCAAAGCCACTTGATACCTTTAGGTATGAGATTTTAACTGTGACTTCCATACCTGAAAGCTAGTATTTTACCAGCGTTGCCAACTAATTTATAATACCTCAACAGGTTAATTCTCACTCTCCTAGTTTTATTCTAAAATCACTACCTTACAAGTTACAACCATACCACAGTTCCAGGGAAAGAAAAATCTGAACTATACAGCTAAATGACGAAAATAGGGAAGTAACATATGAAAGAAATGGTTGGCCATTTCGAACACCTTGAGCAATTTGAAACCAATGGAGAAAGGAGTCCAATAAAAGTTTGGATATGCTTTTGATAACAAGAAAGATCTAACATGTGGATTTAAATAAGCATATGATGTGTATGCAAAGAAATTCAAATTCAAATGAAGATAAGGATTATGAACCCTTAAGAGGAAATTTTTCCTAATACCTTCTCACAACATGCAGGAGTGTTTGTTTTTTAGCTTCCTATAAGCAAATGTGTGAAATTTATTTATTTTATCTCATATAGAAATGGGAAAAATGGGCTTGGACCTAACTTTGCTAGTTTGGGCTTCCCTTGTTTATGGAGCCAAATCTGAGAACCCCATATATGGGTTGTTGATAAATAGTCCTCAGGAAAAACAAATTATTAAAGTTTCGTATGACTGAAGTTCGAATAAAAATAAGGCATAACATTAAATTTAAAAAGTTTGCAAGTTATCTACTTGTAATCCAGCATATAAGATAACATTATGTCATTATATAGTCTAGAAATTGGTTACTTACCCATTAAATGAATTTGGTATACAACTTTCCGAGCTCACACTCGGAAAAAAAAATTATACTTCCTCCCGTCTTAAATTATTTGTCATATTTTGATCTAGCGTACGTAGAGTATGTCCAGCATTTTAAGACGTAATCTCCCCCCCCCCCCCCCAATAATAATTATAGTAGTAATTTTCATGTAATTTCTTATATCAAACTTTTAAATTTAAAATATTAAATTAATCTATAAGTTCTTCTCCGCAAAACGGTTATAGAGCACCAAGCAATACAACTATTGAAACGCGAGGTGGGGAGGGTTATATCGTACAAATCATGCACTAACCTCATAGACTATGACAAATTACTACTCTCGAAAAAATGAAATATGACAAATATTTTAAATGAAGTATATATTAGAAAAAGAAAAATGAAAAGTACAATTCTTTGCTACTAATTCAACACTTTTTTGAACCTAACAACAAGTGGTTCATCAATCAACCCAAGCCACTTCTTGCCATTCTCATTAAAAACACCAACATTCCCACACACTATCTTACAATTACTACTACAAACCCTAGGACAAAACACAATTTTATAACTCTCATTATTCCCATACCTTTCTATTTTAAACCAATTACTTATTGTCTCAATCCCCGGCCGGCCAATCGTGCCACCACTCATAACATACCTCCGCCCCGTCCTCTCGTCCGCGCCACCGACCTTCCATGCCGTGGATTGAACACAAATTGTGGAAGCAACAAACACAATGTTTAAATCAGTAGATAAATTTATGACTTGTTGGTTATTGTCAATTGGAATGAACCTTGTTGGAAGTCCATTTGATGATTCAATATTTTTTTGTATGACATAAAATGGACATGGCCTATTTTTAGCTTCTAGTGCTAGGACACCAACTCCTCCACTACTACTTCCATTTTGATTAATAGGTAAAATTGTGTATTTTAAGCCAATTTGTAGCTCATGACCACCAATATCTAACACTGATGTGGTGGTGGTAATTGGTGTTGTTGATGGTTGTTGGCTAGTTGTTAGGTAAGATAATGAGAATAAAATTTGGAGTATGTGTAGTAGTTTTAGGTAGTTTGTAGTACTCATTGTGCCTTTCTTTGGATAATGTGAGTACTAAATGATCAACCATAGTTTATATAGACTATTTGAAGAAGTAATAAATACTTTTTTTAAAAAAATTTTTAAGTAAAGACCTCGTATTTGATTTCTGGATATAAAATCGTCTTTTGTAGGGAATGATTTATCTTCAAAGCGAGACTTTTAACACGTATTTGAATTAATTGAACTCCAAAATCGATTTTAAAAAATCATAGTGTCTTTTTCTTTCTGTTATTTTGTACAATTTCTACTTGTATAGGGACCAAAAGGTGACTTGGTCTCATGAAGAAAATGAAATAAAATGCCATCACCTTGACTTGCTTAAGGCATGCATGTGACATAATGGATGAAATGAATGCTTTGAAGTTTGAACATGAAGAAAATGTTGGTGAGTTGTTTTTTAAGTTCTTTTTTATTTCATTAGTAAGTTGCATGCATGTGGAATGTAAATATGTGTTTTATTTGATCATGCTATATAATCTATATATATTTACCCACTACACCAACTTGGTTGAGTAATGATGTAACCATGTTTCCTCTTCTAAAAGTTTGTTATTGATTAATTGGTTGTGACTAATTAGTTGGGGTTTCTTTAGATCTTTTGCATAAATGATACTTTACCATAGGTTTGATATACAAAGTATTTAGCGTTTACATCGGATCCAAATATATTAAGGAGATGATATGATTGATATGATATTGATATTATAATTTAACTTAGTGATACAGAAATAACTTTATTGTTATTTTAAGGTTCTCATTCATCCTAGATTTGAACGATAGACAATTGAATATATATCATGGTTAAACAATAAAGTAACCAAGTTCCTATTTAACAAGCAAGACATGATCAATTATTAGGGGTAAATTAATTCCTTTGAAGCACAAAAAGCTCATGCAAGTTGCAACCTATATGGTTTAGGTAGAAAAGGCAAAAAAGGTGGATTAAGTAACCAAAACCTTTAAAATTTTAACAAAATCCCCTAAAACTGAACAGTATTAAAAGCAACACACCTTAAGATAATCATACCTCAAAATCTTATTCCTCAAATCAACTTAATTATAACATTTGTTATAATCATGATAGCAAGAATCATATTTTGCTTTGCAATTTTATTAGCAATACTTTCAGTAATTCTCCTTGCAATATTCTCACCAATACCTAATCAAAACAAATCAAAAAATCCCCCTTGGGTTGATTTATCCCTTTATATTCAACAACCTCGATTCCCCTCTTCTAATTTTCCCTCTCAAAAAGCCCCAACAGACTTTGGAGCTTTAATTTTCCATCGCCTTCTAACAGAAGGCCCTGAAAACACGTCTCGTATAGTTGGAAAAGCGCAAGGTTTCATAATCCCAATTCAAGATTTTGCGAATTCCGCGTTTAATATTATTTATCTTACATTTAATTCAAAAGAATTTAGTGGGAGCCTTAGTGTTGAAGCTAAGAGTTTGACAAATGATAATAACAAGTTGAATGTTGTTGGTGGTACTGGCTATTTTGCCTTTGCTCGTGGTTTAGCTATTTTTGCACAAACAAAAATGGAAAATATTAATTCTGATAATTTAGAAGCTAATTATTATCAATTAAAGCTTCAATTGAAATACCCTAATAAATCCAAATTAAATGCAAGATGAATTATTAGCAACTTATTAAATTATCCTTTATTGTTTTTTTTATATATTTTTATTTTTATTTACCCTTTTGCAACTCCTTAGATAGGAATTTCTTATTAAAGCTTTGTATTGATTTTTCAAAAATAGATTGTTAGGCTAAAGCCCAACTTCTATAATCTGAAATAAATGTAATAATATTTCTTTAAGAAAATAATCTGAAAAGAGCTAGAGTTAAGAGTCTTGTTTGAATGATTTTAAAATTTATAACTTATAATTAAAGTTATGATTTTTAATTTACGTTATTTTCTTATACTTAAAATATTTTATTTTACCAAACACTTTAAAATAACTTTAAAACTATTTTTAACTTTAATAGATATATATATATAGATAGGTTTTTGGTATTAATCAGTCAAGGGCGCGTCGGAACGGTCGATAGCTGCTTAGTCTCATCCGAGAGTTTAATCTCCTTACTCCTTACTGCTTTTATATATATATATATATATATTACTGAGATTGCATCTCCGAAAAGATTTTTACAGTATCGAAACAATTTCTTATTGTCTCTTGCTGAACATTTGTTGTTCAATCAAGAATTGAATAATTGAGAGCATCCAAAACATTGATCTTTGTTAGATCATTTTGTTCCACTCCATAATCTTTTAAAATTCTACGATAAATTATGTTCGATAATACATCTTGAAAGCTTTTATAATCACAACATTGAAATTAATAAGATACGATGATTTCGATATATTTGTTGTACTTTATGTATGATATTTTCTTTATGTAAAATCGATAAATATGATACATAAATTAGTAAGAGTATAATGATTTTGAGATAATCAAAGTTAACTTTCATCAAATCTCAAACTATTCATTAAAATAAATATTAATTTATCAATTAAATAATAAAATATCACGATCTCATCTACATTAATTTATATAGATTTTACTGTATCTCACACAACTAATCTTAGTTTATTTAAAATACATAATAGAAATTTACAATATTTTTCAACTTTTTGTCATTTAGGATGATTTGATGGATACCAAAAAAGCTTTATTAGCTTATATTCTTTCAATTCAACTTAGGCCTTTTGTGGAAATTTTTTATTTATTGATTTTATCCATTAAGAATTAGGCTGGTACAGTTGTAGTAAGGTTTGATAATTTGGAGCTAGAATTTGTTTGTGTTGAGAAAACCAACATTCATATGATAATATAACAATAGGGAAATTAGGTGAATAATTAAACACATACTAGCTAATTAGTTAACATAGTTATAAATTTAGCTAATTTACAATTCGCCATAAACATTTAACATTAATTAGGTTGGCTTCAGAGTTTATATAATTTGCTACATTTGTATAACTAATCACTAACAATTCTTTGTTTAATTTGTATTTGTATATGATAAAGATTTCCTTTGGTTTTTCACTTATGTTATTAGATGCGTTCAATCTTTTTTCTTAACCTTTAAAGTTTGTACAAAAGTGTATCTTTCACACTTTGTATAACGTAATTTGTATAACTTGTTAAAGTTCAGATGTTTATGTCCGTATAAATTCGTTATTTCAAGTTTTTATCATATTTGTATAATTTTAGAATTTGTATTACTTGAAACATAGATCAAAATTTAGATCTACCATTGTGCCCATATTTGTACAAGTGTAGTTATTTTAATTATATATTTCTATATTTTACTTATACAAAAAAAAGTCTACTAAAATAGTTATTCTTGTACAAATGGACAAAAATAACCCAATTAGGCAAATACACGCGAATTATATAAACGTTTGCGAATTAAACAAACGAGGGGCGAATTATACAAATGAATAAGCTATAGGTACAATTCGTAAATATACAAATTATAATTAATTAATCTATTCAAGTTATTATAGTTGCTATTCGTGAAACTTCCCCTTTTTAACAATTAACAAATCCATATATGTATCCCTCAATATTATATTGGGTAACTTTCGCATATAGCAAACAAAAAATTTATATTTGTATGCTATAGCAAAGTTTGCATAATTGCGCTCCATAGCAAACATAAAACTGTATAATTCGCTATACATATACAATTGTATAATTTGCTGGCCTAAATTGTATAATTCGCTGGCCTATTTCGCTGCAATTGTATAATTTGCTTTGCATACAGTTGAATCGAAATAAAATGTATGTATATTTCATAATTATAAGTGTATCGCAAGAAGATATATGTTTTTTTCGCTTTATACAAAAACAGAAACACAATATATACACTTCTGTTGTATAAAGCTATAGAAAATTGTATTTCACTGCAATTGTATAATTCGCAATTGTATAATTCGTTGGCCTTTTTGTCTGCGATATTTGAAGTAAAATGTTTGTAAATTGTATAATTAAGTGTATTACACGAAGATATATATTTTTGCATGTGTAAATACAATTTTCTCTCGCTTTATACAAAACAGAAACAGAATTATACACTTCTATGTATAAAGCGAGAGAGACGAGCAAGAATGGAGAGTGGAGAGCGAGATTTTTGGGAGAGAGACGCTGGCAAATTTTAGTTAACGTTTGCTATGGAGCACAATTAAATCAAACCCTAGCTATTCCCTTTGTTTTAGGTTATTAGTTTGCTATTATATACAATTTTCCCTATTATATTTGGCGTATATCATGTACATTCCACTATATTTTTTTTTATCTCTCGTCATTTGTGTGTCAATGACATTATACTTTTAATATACGCTGATATACGATACATATAAAGTCATATAAGTATACTGAAGTGATGTCTATCATATATTTATGTGATGCATACTGATATACATGATATACACCTGAGATATGTACATGTCACAAGTGCATTTTGGATTTGATTATTTTCTCCAAACTAATCCGAATCACCTCTAATCTTCCTCAAATTTTATATATAAAATTATCCATATACTTTCAATCAAGAAATTGAAATCAAAACAATGTTAAATAAAAAATGTTGATTTATTTTTGTTTCATAAATTCCACTTAACATTAATAAAAAATAAGGCTTGTGGTGAGCTAAGGCTAGGAATTTGGGAACTCATATCCTACACTTGTCTCCTCCAATTTGTATTTTGATATAACATTTATGACTTAACTAGAGTAAATTAGCACTTATTTTAGTCTCAATATTTTCTCTAAGCATGGTTTGATGTATATAGATCTTACTCAACGTTTTTTTGGGGAAATTTACGTGATACATTAAAAAGAGACTTCTATTTATTCGAAATAATGATCGTTTTAAAAAATTATATAATATAATTAATAATAGGTTATTTGTATATTAGTTTGAAAATATTTTTTAATGGTACTATATAATGATTTATTATATTTTACATGTATGGATGCATGGTATTACTCTATAGAGATTTTGTATATAC